AATGCCCAAGCAGGAGGGGAGGGGTAAACTGGGGGTAGCACCTGGTTGGGTGGACTGAGGTGGGGAAGGAGATGGGAGAAGGGAGAGAAGAATTACCACAGTAAGCATGATCATCATACAGGCACAACCTCCCCCCCACCCCACACACACACACACACACACACACACACACACACACAAAGCGTGGCCATCAGGCAGGGTTACTTGTCATGATATGAGAACTCAGCCAGTGAGACACACACATCTAGTTCCTAATTAGAAAGTCCAGTTTCATTAATGGTTTTAAATCTACAGAGGAAAAATGTCTTTCCTGTTTGGCTCCCTTCCTTCCTGGATTTTCCATGTCACCTTATACTCACTTCCACACTTTCAAGGGAGCAGAAGAAGTAACACAAAGCCTACAAAGATGACTGGATAAAAGACCAGATGTGATAAAAGAAACTGCAGTCCATTTTTCACTGGGTACAGAATGCAGTGTATACATATACTTAAAGTAACAGGCAGAGTAAATCTACAAATGCATTTATTAAAACATGTCAAATACATTTTCATAAAGGCCCCCAACATAAGCAAGCAGGCTCCACGGGGAAGTCAGCTGGCCAAAAATATCATGATGTCATGATATTTTACTCACTTTCTGGCTCTCCATGGCCCCATTCAGCAGACCCATAGGCCCTGCTTTTCATTAAATCTGCCCCTCTATACAGTGAATTGGAAACTGGGATCATTTTTTTTTCTAATTCTGTGCATTTTAGTAATAACTCAAGAGACTAGACAGATCCAGACATCATTCAAAGTGCCTTCAGGGCTATTATAATCTATATGTTCTTTTCTGCAGGACCATTTATTGCAGGTCAGCTTGCAGGACAGCTGTCTTGGAGGATTTCAACATTCATGTTGCACCTTAAGGGAGAGTAGGTTGGACTTCATGGGTGCCATGACAATCATGGGGCACTTCAATGTCACTGGTCTGACTCATTTAGCACAGGATACTCAAACGTGCTGTTTTCAGCTACATGTGAAGGACGTGAGGGTCTGGCTTTGGGGGCATGGTGTCTCTGAGACCTCCCAGTCAAGTTCCTGGTAATTTTATATGGGCAATAGTTACTACCTGGGCTGTGTGTGGAACCCCTTATGGAATCCAGGGGTGTCCTGCATGCTTTTTGTGTCCTGCATGTTCAGCCCCTGGGCTGCTTCCAGATGAGGCATTTAAGGCACCATCGCTACATTCACAGAATTTATGTGGCATCTTCATAGATCCACTGTTTGCTTGCTTTAAAAGAAAAGCCAATCACCACTTCCTTTGCTTTTTGACACTGAATTTTTGGTGGCGGCACAGCAGCAGCAGCAGTAGTTCCAGCAGGGAAGTTGGCACCCCCAGTGAGCTTGGGCCCCGGGACCCGCCACTGATCTTAATGAAAGTTGGTAGTCTTGACAAGGCCACTTTAGGCTCAACTGAAATGTCTCATGAGAGCCTTATAAAAGGAACTGTACAAGGCAGTGAAGGAGAAGAGGCAGCTGGTCACATTGCCTTCCTTCTTAAATACACGCATGTTTGATTCATCAATCAGGATCTCCCTCAGCCATGCTATGGATCTTTTCTGAAAGTGATCAGTGGGAAAGCACCACATACTCTCAGGAACCTGGTAGGCATTTTGCTGTCCTCTTCATCACTTTCACACCTACTTCTCACTTTCCAACAAAATGAGCAGCATTTCACAGCTGCAATGATTTAATGGTTCTAGTATAGATAGGTATTTGGAATCATTTAGCACTGATTAGTTAGCATATAACATAATTTTATTTTTATTCATGTGGAATATGTGACCTCTTTCTGGTGCTAAACACCAGTGGTGTCATCACAAGAAGAATTTGGGGCAGGGATCCTGGACCCTGCTCCAGTGAATGAGTTTCTAAATGCAGTAAACCCGGGTTATCCCACATTAGAATAAGTAAAATAATGAATATTCTGATCCAGAATGCACTTCACCGATTAATGGATTAACAGGATGGAATGGACTTACGGATGTATGTATACAAGTGATAGTGGAAATAGACAAATTCATTCATTTCTAATGGCAACTCCAGTTTGCACATTCATTTATTGATTTCCTAATAGTTTCCTCCAACGACCTCATGACGGCAAATCCTCATTTCATTCTCACTGCAACCATGTGAGATGCATTACATGGAGAAGTCCACGGTCACTCAAGAAGCTCATGGCTGGGGCAAGATTTGAACCTAAGTCTCCACAAGAGTAGACCAACTTCCTGATCCTACAGAAGGCAGTTTGGTACCATCCAGAAGATTTGGTATGCATTTTCCACAGTTGGTGTCCATTTGCTCAGTGGCTGATGGAAATTCAGTCCAAAACATGTGGAAGGTGTCAAGCTGCCTGCCTCCATCTTACAGAAAACCAGTTATATCTCCCCTCTAGGGAGATCTTTCTATGGTGCTTATCAATTGTTCTCAATTGTTCCTATAAATGATTAAAGCCTCAAAAGCAACAAGTGAACCAGGAGAAAATAAGAAGTGTTTGTCAGTTCCTAAAATTAAACATCAAGGTGTCTTGTTTTTCAGGAGCAAATACGTATATAGAATGTCACCAGGAATTTAAATCAGTTACATCCCTCGGCTAGAATGTCACCACCCTCACCAGGAAAGCCTGCAAGTTCTCTGTGTGTAAAATGAAAGATGACTATGTACCTTGACCTCAGTCATAACATTTTATGATTATAATTTACTAAGACATGGAAGCTATTTTCTCCTGTAAGGCTGTCCATCACCTTCTCTTTATGCAAGTTTTAATGGCTAAATTGGGGGGAAAAGGAAGCCATAGGCGTTCATTGCCTGTAGGGAGCTCTACTTAAGCAAAAACATGAGACTGCCTGAACCTACCGACCCCCACCCCCACCCCCGAACACACGCGCGTGTGCGCTGTTTTTTTTAACCTGCAAAAGAATTCATTTTGGCAACATGCTGGAAATGTATGAAAATAACATAACAGCTACAGTTTTTCCTTCCTGTAATTTTATTTTTATGACAGCATTTTAAAATATGTGTTTATTTGACACTTCACTGCTGTTATATACTGTATGTTTTGGAATGTTAGCCCTTTCAGCCACACACGAAGCTCAAAAAAGATATTTTCATGCTCATATACAGAAAATGTTGTTTTAACTTTAGGGGCTATATGGGCAGATGGCCAGGGGGAGGGGCCTGGGGAAAAGCAGTAAGTCCAAAGCTGCTACAAAGTTCACAATTCATACCATTCACAAGCATGTGAGAAGAATCGAGAGGCAAAATCTTGTTTTACCTTAATCCCAGTCCAGTTTGTCACAGTTCAATGTGGTCCCCAAAGCTGGGCTACCTTTCTAGATAAACTTTACAAGTTGTTGTTGTTACAGCCAAGCCATTTCTTTGTAGCTTCCGTGTAGTACCTCAGGGGAACAGAACCTGCAACCCAGGGGCCATGAGTGCTCCACCAAAGCCCTCCTGCGGCCTCCAGCAGTACCCAGCTCCTCGGCATTGCTGAACTCTCCCCCAACAGTCTTGATACAGGCCATTCATTCCTCCGTGCTAGCAGTGCTTTGTATCATTCAGGGTCACATGTGGGAATGTGCGTGTACTACCTCCAACCCAGAATCAGAGGTGGCTCTCAGGCCAAAGGGCTGCACACCCTGTTGCATGCTCTTATTTGTGAATATGGTAAAGTCCTGTCCAGGTGACACACACAGTGGGCATTGGCAAAGGTCCCATTCACCCTGAGAAGCTCTTGGAAGCTTCATCCCACTGGTGGGAAGGAGCAAAGGGGAAAGGGGGCTGGGGTCAAACTGCCAAAAATACTGGCTTATTTTTAGTTTAAACTTCTCACTTCTAGGAAGACCCTGGGGAAAACCACACAAAAGCCAGGAGCCTCCAAACAATCAGTGTTCAGGAGAAAGGCCCAGGCCCAGGCAAGTTGGTCTAAAAAGAATCTGGAATACCTGAAGAAGAAGAATTGGCCCTCCAATATCTCCTCTGATGTCTCCAGCAGAGGCATATTGTGATAAACAAGGGAAACAATGCTCTTGTAAAGTCTGGAGATACGTATGATGGACCAAGGAAGGATCAAGCCTTGGCAAAGATTAAAGGAGGAGGGGAAAAGATAGAACGACTGGTCTCAAGACTGAGAAGGGAAATTCAACAAGGAAGAGGTACTATAAGAGATCTGACAAATTTGAAAAGTTGATATCATAGCAAAAAGACCATTTACTGGGATGAATCTACAAACTATTATTGCAATATGATACAGAAGCTGAACAAGTTAGAACATGCATTATAAGTGGGATGCAGAACTTAGGAGAAGAAATATTCTTCAATCAATGCGAAACTTTATGGACAAAAGGAATGAAATTTACAGCTAGCCAAACATTATGTGAGAATTGGTATAAATGTTCTTTTATTGGTGTAGTAGTCCTAAAAATATTTTTAAAAATGAACAATAACTATAATGGAAAGTTATGGAAATGTAAGAAGTGGAAGGGACTCTTTACCATATGTGGTGAATGTGCAGTAAGGTTAAAAAGTTTTGAAAAGACATACATACAGAAATACAGAAAATTCTGAAAATTAATTTCCTAAATGAATCCTGAGAATATGTTACTGAGTATCCTACCAGAAACTCTTCCAAGAAATATGGTAGTATTATTTAAATATATGATAGCAACAGTCAGGATTATAATTGCAACAAAAATGGAAGAAGACTGTTCAGTCAGTGAAGACTGGAAAAAAAAACAAGCTAGCTGAGTGTGCAGTGATGGCAAAATTAACCAACTATGTAAATAGAACACCAGGCCAAGATTTTAAAGATAAATGGAAAGCTTATTATGCATTTTTACTTAACAACTGTGACTAAAAATAGAGCTTGAATAAAGATGATTACATTGACATTAAAATATTTTAATAACTTATAAAAAGAAAATGCAGTTAATGAATGTAGTTACAATTAGAAAGCTTACCTTTTTTTATTTGTAACTGAGAGAAAATGTGGAACCTTTGGACATTATTGCGTTCTGAAAAATGGTGGGGAAGAAGAGAAGGGGAAGGAGTAATAGATAGGGAGTGGGGGAGGGGGAGAGAGAGGAAAGAGGGGGAAATTCTGATCTGATTTCAGGATATCTACAAGCAATTTAATTTAATTCCATGTGAAATTATAAGTCCTATTTGGCTATCTATAACTAAAGGTACATTTTGGCTATAACCTATAACTACCTATACTATACTCAAATAAATTGTAGATATAAGTTTAGATGAAATAATGTCAACTGTTGTTTCTTTGTGGAACTTCTTGTACCCAGATATTTAACTAATCCTAGTATGTGTCCCTTGGTAATCTTTTCTTCTGATGCATCTGCTTTTTTCTGTTTCTTATTATCTACAAATTAAATAAAATAGTTAAAAATAAATAATACTGCCTTCCAGTCTACTCTCAGAGAGATGCCCCAGAAGACTACCATGGTTCATGCTACTGAAAGGCATCAAGAGGTTCAGCAGAGACACACTTCTCCAGGATAATCAAAGAAGACCTTCTGATAACCAGGTCCAAAACCAAATTTCAATGGATCTAGATAAACTGCATCATCCAAAAATTCCTGAAGCTGAGAAGCTCAATTGGTCACAGCAGGCTAGTAGGTAATCCAGCTTTTCTTTTGTGGGTGTCACGACCAGGACTTGGCTAACCCTGCAAGTATCTGCAGAACCAGGGGACACCTTTGCAGGTGCTTACAGGGAGGGAAGAGCCGAAAGCCAATTACGCAGCACAGCTGGAGGCCCTGGAGACCAAGTGAAATGTATTTCTGCACTACCACTTCTTGCCCCAGCAATGGATGTTGTCTCCATGACTCTCTTGTACTCTGGCCTGCTGCCTTGACGTGCCTTGAACTTTGCTCCTGCCTTGGTCCTGTTGGACCTTGAGGGCTTCAGTCTGCTCCTGCCTTGCTCCTCTGTGTTCCTGCTTGCCCTTGCCCAATCCTGCACCTGTTCCTGTTTCCAGGCAAGCCTGCATCCCCAGATACCCACCCCTTTCCATCCCAACCTCACCTACCCCCAAACATGACTGCCTTCCCAGTACTTGACTCCTAGGACATTTTCGTGGACACTGCTACCTGTCTGTGCAATTTGGACCATGCATTTCCCCTGCCTGCAGCCATGATCTGCCACCCCATTCTTGTCTCCAAATGCCCCCTAGCCCCAGTGCTCTGTTCCCGGCATTCTGCCTCTCCACGAATGCCCCCCACACCCCATGCCTTACAGCAGGCCTGACTGAAATAAGCCTCTGACCTCCTGAAAAAGCTCCACTAAGTGCAGACACAGTGATGGCAGGTGAGTGTAATCTCTACACCACCTTTATTGCTGCAGACAATGAAACATTGTTCATTGTTTGAACAATGAGATCTAGCCCACGTTGACTGAACTCAGTCTGAATTTGCTGTTGCTCTAGTCAATATCTTACTTGCTTTATCATCTGCAGTGCCCAGGAAAACTAGAAGTCTCCATAGAGAATGCCCAGGAGCAATTTATCAATCTCTTGAGCTATTTCTCCATTCCAGAGATCAACCAGTGTTTCCAAATAATCACCAACTGAGTTTACAAGAGATCTCCAAGAGCCACCAGAAAACCAGTTGGGGATATCAGAATAGACCGGCTTCACCAGTCTCTGCCCCTGCAGAGATTCAGAGTGCCAACAAATTTGAACCCAACCAGGAGGTGATCAGAAAGAAAAATCTGAAAAACCAGATCCGAAGTGTGGCCTGCTGAATGAGTGGTGCCAGATCCCAATGGAGCAGACCCACGGTTGAGATGGAAGCCAGAAAGTCCTGAGCCACTCTCAACAAGGCACAAAGATGCCATCAACAATCACAATATATGTTGAAATTCCTCAGCACAAGCCAGAAAGACTCCATCAACTATCACAAGAACACCTTGGCTAGCTTAGAAAGGGAGACTGTGAGGCAGCAGGGTAGAGGATATGCACACAATCACTCTTCTGCCTCAAACAGCCATCTCCAGGTACACACACATGAAACTGGAAGGCTGTGGGATGGGGCACTTGGACAGGGGTATAAAACCAAGACGGACCGCTGTAGCTCCACCTCCCATGCGCCAGCCCTTGCCTGCTGTAACACAAAGGTGGACAAGGCTGGGAGAGCTTTTTACTTCCTCAGTTTCATTCAGTCAGGTCTTCATGATGCAGGCCGGGCTGCCACGCTCTCCCAGGATCAAGTCTGGAATGGCAGCTATGTTGCCATGCACCAACTTGGCTTTCAGTAGTAGCACATTCAATCCAGGGAAATTGTCACCAGACTACTCAGGGAGGTAGCTTGGGAGCAAGCAAGATTAAGCCAAACAGCTTTAAATTACTTAATTTAGATTAAACTAACAACCTTAATCATGCTTAAAATCAAGTCATTCTCACTGAAATGAAAGCAATGTGCTGATGACTGGGATGCTAACTTCCTAGTGGCATTAGATAAAAATAGCTCTGTCGGCTTATGTCTGATGGTGTTGCTCCTGCTGCTGAATTCCTGAAGAAGTTTCGTGTATGTTCTTGACATCTTGGGCACTCTGCAGCAGCTCCAGATGACATTTTGTTTGCAAAGGAAATCAGGATGGTGGGGGAGCACGGGGGGAGCGGGGTTGTAGAAGTCTGCAGGCCGTTTGCCTCCCACCCTTGCACTAGTGTAAAGTTTCTACCACCTATAGAAATCTTGATTTCATCCATACAGATGTACCCTGTACAATACTTTGAGCAGTATGCTGTGGTGCAGAAGCAGTAATGTAAATTACATGGCATTAGTGCAGACTACTCCTGCAGAACAGTGTAAACTGACATGCCCGTTTCCATGGGAAAGGGCACTCTGGCTAATGCTGTTGCTATTGTGCCGGGGTAGGTTAAGGTAGTGCAACTTAATTTACATTAGCGGATGCATCCTACTGTATTGTCTGTCCAATTCTGTTTATCAGGCGGCAGAGCAAGATGTTGCACAAGGCATTTCACAAGCTATTGTACAAGGTATTACACAACTCATCACAATTCCATCAGGCTAGGGGTTGCTTGTGCTAGTTGTGCTTACCGTTTCATTAGTGGATGTAACTTTTCTGTTCATGTAATGTTGAATATAGTCAATTATTGCAGTATGGAAGGTGATTCATGTGTATTCCACCAGAGTATTGTGTGACAAATCAAACACTTAAAATCAAAGCACAGATTTGGAGGCAGAGTTTATGTTGCGGTTTGCTGAAATGTATCTGTCAGCTGTAGCTGTCAGCAGAAGTGTGGAAGAAACAGCAGCTGCTTTGTACTGCCAAAGAGCAATGGAACAAGCCGAGCTCCAAAACAGATTGGAAAGTGTTTGCTTCTAATGAACCTCTTGAAGAAGTGGGGCCCATTTGTTCTATGCTTCTTTTACCTGGGCGATAATATCACTACTGCAGAAATATCAAACAGGTCAGATGTGTTGTCCCAATAGCAATGGCCTTGCTAATATGATTTGAATGAAAAAGTTTTCTTACTAAGGTTGGGAGCTCTATATGACACAGGGCCATATTCAGCAGCGTTCTTACTCTTCTACTGATTCCCTTCCACCCTGCCAATGTTATTCCACAAGCAGTGGGTTCCACCAATTCCATTGTACAGGTGGGGCCCTCTGCTCATGCAACACGGACTGAGCACCTTCTCTGTTTGCTTCTTGTTATCTGCTGCAAAGTTGTTCCAACTTATGGCGATCCTATGAATGAAAGCCTTTCCAAGTGTCCTGCTCAGCTCTTGTAAACGCGAGAGCATGGGCTCCTGTGTGGAATTCAAGCATCTCCTCCTCTTGGGAAGCCCAGCAATAGATGGAAATGCTCATTTCTGAATTAGGACAGCTCAGCGGAGTTCCCAGAAATTCTAAATCATACCTGGGCAAGAAGCGAGGGCCAGTTGCACAACAGAATCAATGAGCAGAAGGGAAGCAATGGAGGCCTACGTGCCTTGCTTGATACTGCCCATACTTTCCAATCCCAGGCACCTTTAGTTGAAAGTAATTCCCACTGAGAAACTTTTTTAAAGGCTCTAAATGCACCTAATTACGCAAAAGTAAGTAATTACAGTATATTTGAACTGGATTGCAGGTGTACTCCGATCCATAAATGTCTTGTGCAAGCAAAGAAGCATTTCCATTTGTGTACAGCAGCCCAGCTGAATTCCCCGTTTCCCCATCCTGCTAAAGTCCAACCCCATGGCATTCCACTGGGTCTGTCAACCCACAGGAACAGCTTTTGGCAGGTGCATCCATGTGTGTATGCACACGCATGTGTAAACCAGGAGTTGTGGCATGTGTGTGCATGTGGGGGTGAAGTGAGAACAGAAAATCCTATAGTGCGAGTAGAGTTTGACTCAATCTTCTCTAAGCCCTCTATGATTACATGTTGATTACAGAATATAGATCTTGCAGGAAGTGTAAGATGTGTGGAGTTAGTAAGATATGCTTGAGAACAGTGAGGGTGCTAATTTATGGATAGAGAAGCAAATTTAGAACCAATTAGTATAATTTAAATACAATTACACCTCACCTTTGCCGGGAAGGTTGTGGCAGGTGACCTGTGCCCCTGCAGGGTTGGCTGTCCAGGTGTAATGGTGCATGCAGAACTCCAGGGCATCTGTTGCTTGCCCTCCTTTCCTTTAAACTGGGCTGAACAGAAAACTGTCCTCTGTAAAGGAAAATGTATGGCTACCCTCCTGTTTGAAATGTCCAATCTGTATCTAAACATTTTGTTGCTAGGCTTAGTGCTCATGTTTATTATTTTTCATCTTCTGTCTATGATCAATGATAAATCCTGGAAAACAGGAGAAGTGCCAGATGACTGGAGAAGGGCCACTACAGACCAGTTAGACATCAATCCCTGGAAAAATTCTGAAGCAAATTGTTTAAAAAACCAAATGATTAATTTAGCAAAAATAAATCCTGCTGGACTAATTTAATCCCATTTTTGAATGGAATAACACACAGAAGGAACACTGTGAAAATAATCT